CACTCCATATAGTTAAGTTATTGAGGTCCTTTTGGATCTGGGATACACTTTCGCTTAGTGTCTCAGGCTTATAGCTGTATACTATTTTGAGATCATCAGCATATAAGTATGGTTTCCCAAATTCTATGGTGTTACATATATCGTTTAGATACATAAGAAACAAAAGTGGGCCTAATACGCTTCCCTGGATGACTCCACTGGTGATTGGTCTAGGGGACGAGATACAGTCATTGTACTTTATCATCTATTTACGTTCTGTTAAGAACGAAGCAAACCATGAGTACAGTGGGTTGTGTATTCCAAAGGACTTTAGTTTGACGAGTAGCCTTTTGTGTGGGACCTTATCAAAGGCTTTCTTAAAGTCTAGGAATAGGACTGATACAAGGAGTCCGCTGTCTCTTTCCAGAGTTATATCATTCAGGTAGTCTACTAGGCATGTATCGCATGATCTGGACCTAAGAAATCCATGCTGGGAGATCGAGATGAGATTATTAGTTAGTAGATGTCGGACTACAGCCGCCTTAACTACTTTTTCCATCACTCTGGATACCACTGAAGCTATGTTTATAGGCCGGTAATTTTCAACGTTTGCTTCAGGTCCTGTTTTAATTTTGGGAATGATATGTGCAGTTTTCCAGGCGGTAGGGTAACACGCTGAAGAGAGTGATATCGCGAATAGTTTGAGAAGCAAAACACACATATCATCACCTCCACGTTTTAGCATGCTAGATGGAATACCATCTGGTCCATCAGTGTAGGAGTGTTTCAATGTACTGATTGCCTTGGAGATATTTTGTACACTGAATTCTACATTAGTAATTTCACAGGGAGTTACTGGGATTGGTTCTGAATCATTAAATGGTTTTTCGTTAGTTAGTGAGAAACAAAAGTGTTCACTAAATAATTCTGTGATAAGTTTGGGATCTTCGTATACTTGTTTGCCTTTAATGAATATACTCCCTCTCGATTTAGAGCGTTTAAGTTTATTTTGGAGTAGTATGGTGAGTGCAGAGGAGTTATTATTAAGTTCAACTGCACGTTTTTCCTGTGCTACTGCTTTTTGTTTACTTATTGCCTCGGTTCGGACAAGTATTTCTGTCATCGTTACTAAAGAGGAAAAGTCATTTAAGTTGTGGAATCGATTACAATGTCTTTGAAGACGTCTTCTTGTACTGACCGGTATATAGAGATCTTTGGAGAACGTAGGTTTACAGTATTCTAAAGGTGCGATGTTGTTGATGATACTTTTGATGTTGTGATAAAATATATTGGTTAATGTGTCGGTATTGTTTGAGGTAAAGAAAGTTCTCCAATCAGTGCTTCTTAGGTAATTGTGGAAGTTATTCCAATCAACCTTGCGATAGTTTCTACGAAGTGTTACGGTTTTACTTCTATCGGTTGTGGTTTTTACATTAAGGCTGCATATGACAATGTTATGATCACTACCTGGGAACTTTTTTCCAATATACAAAGTATTGGGGATGAGGCCACTGGTAAAGACTAAGTCTAAGATGTTTTGATGTCTGGTAGGGCTATCGACATACTGAGTCCATTGTCCAAGCTCTAGACATTCAATAAATGATTCATAACGTCTCGGCGCTTTGACTGGCAGCCAAGAAATTTCGGGCATATTGAAGTCACCACAAATAAGCTTACCTGTGAATGAGAGGGATGATGCTAGTGTGAATACCTCCGATAATACTGCTATTTCATCTATTGATGCGTTAGGTTGACGATAAACACAGCTGAGCAGTAAGGTAACGGAATTCGACGGCTTTAATACAATCCACACCGAGTCCTTCAGTTTGTTTAGTTCAGGCATATCACATAGCAGTGAGTTTAGGCTAGAGTGAGCGTAAATAAGGCATCCTCCGCCTCGTCCATTCAACCTATCGCCTCTATATAGAAAATAGTTATCAAGAGATATACTTCGGTCGGAAATATTATGTTAGTCCATGCTTCAGATATCATAATAAGTGATGGTTGATATATGGATACAAACAGGGCTAAATCCGTCTTTTTGTTGCAGATCGATCGAGCGTTGATAAGACATATATTAAGCAAGTGGCCTACTAAGTTAAAATGACTGAGGGTATCTCGGATAAAGTCGTCGTAACCCTCGCGGGTGTGAGATGAGATTGATGTGAGGGATTGGATGTTCTTCATTAGCTCGGTATTCTGATAGCTAGACTTAGTGGAAGATGTATCAAATGAGCTAGTGAAGTTGATTGAGGAGTTTACCCAGGAGGAAAGGGTGGGAGTACTCTCTGATGGAAACTGTACGGAGGAGACAAATTTATGGTTTGCATGTGGTTTGAAATAACCTGGGCTATATGCTTCAACAGAGGTGTCACTAGGGGTCTTATTCAAAAAAAATCTTGTACAGGCCTACTGTGAAGTGTATGGTTATTTACAAAATAGTCTTGATGGTTAGACTCGTAGCCCCTGTTATGGCTATTTAGGTTAGCGTGAGAGGGGTCTGCTACGCGTAACTGGGAGGAGTTGCGACTGTTGTTATACATGGGAGCCGTTGTTATGTGATGGGTCGGTACTAAAGGGTGTGAGAGGTTTTCTTTCTGAGAGTAATTACAGTTGCGATCCTGGGGAATGTAGGTAGGGTGTGGAGTGAGAAACCTATTATGACCATTCTTATTTATGGTTTTAGGCTTCAGGGGGTGATTTGGGTGACCAGTTCTCTGGTAGTTTTCGTTAGTCTGCGTGTAAGAAGGCTTGCTACGCTGAAGCCCACCACCCATTTTGCAACTTAGAGGTGTTGAAGGCAAGTAATACGATAGCAGCGGGGAGAACCTGTTCACTGTTCTTGGGATACCTATAGAGCAGTTGGGTTCAATCTTACGTGTTTCCCTATTCGGTATCATGAATTTTGTCTTCCCGCCCTTTATTTTCAGAGCTAAAGTCTTTCGTTGTCTCTGTGAGATGAACTTACGTTCATTCAAGTCTACTTGTGGAATATCTTTAGGAGGACAGATTTTCAAGTGTATAGGTTTAGTTGGATGTGTGTTGTTACACGACTCACATTTTAGTACATTACTGAACGAACAGCTGAGATTAGTCATGTCGTTATGGTTTTTGGTGTCAGTTGGGGTCCGTATCTTATCCAAAGGTTTCTGATCTGTAGACTCATTTAGATCAACAGAGTGATCAGCCGTATGTGGAGTGGTGTCATGCTTAATGTTCGTGTGTTTTAAACTATTTGCTGTGTTGCAAACTGTCTCTGGCTGATTATTAACTGTAACACTCTCATTCAATTCTATCGCTTCGCGTCTTCTTACACGACGTTGACAGGGCGTAAGGCCTGGAGTGACTTTTATATTCTTGTATGGAATTAGTAAGCTAATATTTTTACTCAAATTAATAAACTGCTTAGCATCGTTACAACAGCCAAACATAAACAAAAGGGGTCAAGTCGATCTGTCTGACTTTTTTCTAAGGCGGATGGCTTTGCAGTTAACGTTCGGCATACCGCATGCTCTAAGGCAAATACCCCTTAACTTAGATGGGTGTGTGCGGTCGGGGAGGTTATACACAACTGTATTGTAGGAGGACATCACTCTCTTCGTCACTTCTTCAGCCACAAACTCCAAAATACACTCAGCTTTAGTGAGTTGCTCAAGATTTCTGTCTGTGTCAAGGCCCCATATATGAGTGAGGGGTGCTAATTGCTCAAGTTTTCCGTTAATTCCGGATAGAGAGTTTTGTAGCTGTCGGATGTCATTACTATATCTATCAGTATTTTGGTGTGTATGAGGTGGACCATTGGACCCTTAAGTTTTTGAAATTTTAGATTTAGGCCTTGGTAGCACATACTGTCTAGTAGACTGTGCTGACTTTTCTATGCACGCAGGTATAGTGTCTTGTATGTCAACCAGTCTTACCGTTGGCATACTGCACGTAGAGATAGAGGGGCTGCGACATGGAGAATCTGGTGACGATAGAGACATTTGTGTACAATGCACATATTTTTCAGTAGTTGAAGGTTCGACATTGTCAAGCACTGAGTCGTCAGTTGTAGGGGTTACAGATTTGGACCTTTTATTTGGCTTGGAATTTGGTGAAATTTCTCTTTTACTGGAGTTATTGGACATGATATGAAAATAAGTTAGCACAGTGCTCGTTAAATTAAATATAATATCTGAGTATTAGTTGTTATTAAGTATTAACCTTGTTAATACTAGGATTAGCGATGTGAATTTAGGAATACTGCCTGATATAACGTATTCTGGGCAGTCTGATGCGGAACATTCTTAAGAAACATTGTGAGACGTTTATTCGCGGAGGAAATATCATCGTGTACGATGTGCCAGAAAACGCAGACCCCGACCACACAAACTCTGATATTCGGGAATGGAAAATTATCAGGAAGTCCTTGAAACTCAAAAGAATATTGACTCAACAAGTGGCGGCATTAGCCAAAAGGACGGTGGTTCTAGACCTGGCTGATGAAGATAACTTTTCCATCCTCCCATATAGCGGCTGCAACTCTGGAAGCATTTCGTGCCCAGAGACACCGGTCGCCAATTGGAATCCTTACGCATGTTAGATGTTTGGCAGCTAACACGGGAACACGCCCATTTTCTCATTCGTTTATTCCTATAATACCACCGAGGTCGTTCTAATAAGAACGTGAATATTGATCAAAGAGCTGGGTAGGATAACTTGTACAATGCATTGGAGACAACAAATTTTCGACACGATTGGACGACCTCTTATTGCAGAGATTCCATACGATGGGATTTCTTGACGTGTTTCTATCCAATTTGTTTCTGGTTTCAGGGTTGTTAACAACAGTTCGTGCTTAGGATCACTATCTTTTTTTAAAGAGACCATCGGTTATATTGTTTGACTCAAAAATATGTCATATATTTGAAATATATTCCTAAGTGTTGTCCATTTTCAAGATTCTGGAGCACAAATATGGCCACGTCGATTTTGTGGTAGGATAAAAGACAGTTTGATTGTCTTGTTGTACATAAAACTGAGAAAAAAGCGCAGCGTTTGTACGTTACGTTACTGTTGTTAAATCTGCTCATTGGTTTTTGTGTTTCATGTTGTTATCCTGGACTTTGTAGTTTCTGATTTGTTATCAGATGAAATTGCTTAATTTCATGACAACCTACTTATTGTTTGTAACTTAGAATACTGCACACTTTGATCTGAGGTTTCATCTGGCAAACGGAGTTGGTAAGTAACGTGTTTTATAACTCTTTGTAGAAAACACTGAATCGTCATTGAGATGTCAAATAAGATTTAGTTTGTAAATTTTTCCTGTCACATTCTCCCATTCTCAAATGGTTGTAGACGGTACAGAATAATTCTACACCGCTAAAGCATACTTCGGCACCAACCGTAGAGTTTTTAACCACTTAAAAATTGACACTTATATATAGCAAAAGTTTTAGCATCGAGGCTGGGAAATCACAGTGTAGAAAAAGTTCTATATATCTGGTGAACTATCAAACATAATCGAAAGTATTGAGAGTTGGAGATTAGGGGAAGATTTGTCATAGACTAGTATTAGGAGTTGAGAATAATAATACCGTTAAGATAAGAGAATGTTTGGTAGCCATATCGATCAAAAACGACAGATATAGTCCCTTGTTTTGAAACCTCAAAACCCTTTCGTTGAAAATTTGTAAATTAAGCTGAAATTCTATATATTTTTGTAAGTTATTTATATCTCTTACTCTCACCATCATTTTAAGAATTAAGAAATTCCAAGACTTTTCTTTAACTTTGTAAAGCGAGATTTAGGGTAATAAACTTCCGAGGTTTCTATTTTTCCCCTCTTAAGCAATTCTTTAATCTGTAAATGCACGTGTTCTCTGAAACTTCGCAGAGTGTGTATTTCCTGTAGCTAGGTTTTTAACACGTGTAGCAACCCAATCCAACCTATTTTCGATTTATTTGTTTCTATTTATAAGCCATAATTTAGAACACGGTGTAGTTCTCCGACGATATCTTTCAAATACGTTTCCGTATTTATCAATTTGTAGAACTCAATGGAACGAACAAATTGCTTTCCAAACTGTTACTTGGCGATTCAGATGGTAACATATGTGATTGTCATTTGTACTCTTTTCAGGCCTTGGGATCGCATCCTGAACGACCGTGGTGAGACTATAACTTATGGGTGACCTTTGAGCGATTCCAAAGTGACCTTGAGCATGTCCACCTACTATATAGGACTAAATGAGAGTCATGAACCATAGTGAGGAATTAGAATTATGATTTACGGTTGATGGTTTGGGTTAGGAATTAGACTTGGGGTTTTTGTCACAAAATGACACCATCTAAAATCCAGAAACGATATTTAACCAAATAGATGACTGAGTTTCTCACCAGATATCTTATATCTGATTGGTTCGCCCATAAATTATAGTCTCGTTCCAACCGCAGTCTTACCAATTTCATGTATCAGGAAATGCATTTAGCGATTTCAATCTGGACTTACTTTCATGTTCTTAAATTCTCCTGAAACGACATCTGTAACTTCATTTTTTTCTTGTGCGACCCTAGTGATTTTGATCAATGGCTGTGGTTAGGTACATATTGACAAATTTTATACTCCCGTTTCATGTGTGTATGTGGAGAGTTGGTTGGTTATCAATGGTGCCTTTGTTCAGTTTAGTTTGCGTTACAAATCATTCTGAAAAATAAGTATGTTCGTTTGACTCCTTGTTATTATTAGGAAGCATTAAAGATGTTATTATCCATGTTTCATCTAAGTATAGAAATAATAGTGTGTCTACGATTTTAACAACCACGTATAAATTCTCCGGAAATAAAAACTGAGTTATTGCCTATCCTCTTGATTGTGTCAATATTCAGGTCAAATTTTATCTTTGTAGGTCGATTAATCTAATGTAGGTAGGCTAAATAACAGAACGTGTTCAATATCTTTCATGTTTAGATATATTTTAGAATGACTTATTCGTTTAGTTAGTTCGTTCATAACAAAATTATACGCTACTGTTCTACAGTGGAACACTTACATAGTGAAATATATATAACTTTATTATATTGCCTTGGATGCTCATAATTAAGGAATATGAAACCAAATAAATTTATCAATAACGTTTTTTGGGTATAACAGTGTGTATTTTGATTTTCTATACAAATTTGTGGGATGGTTTATTGGGAAGTCATTCTAATATCATTATTCATTGTGTCAATTGAATACCATTTTAATGATTAAACAGAATTTGTTTGTTTAATTGATATACATATGGTATAGAGATACACAGAAGCCAGCCACCATGAAAATATTTGATTAAGGATAATGCAAAACGTTAATCAGAAACTTCTTAAGTACCATGTTCCACAGAAAATCTGAATTTTACGGTAAATACAGAATCAGAAGCCTTTTAAATAATTCATCTTAGTAAGCTGGAAACCAAACTACTCATACAAAAACAGTATAATCTGTATAAGTATCGGTAAATGTATGAGTGTAATGTATAACCTAGAAAGATAAGATTTGACATCCATACGTTGTAATTTGTAGTAAAAAGCTTTGAGGGTCGATTGCGATAGGGTAAACTTTTTGACCAATTCATATGCGGAAATACATCTTACTGTATTACTACTACATTGTACTGGATAGGTATACTGTGAGAAGTTCATTGACATATTCAGAACTATTATGATTTTGATTGTACTAAAATATTCTTAATTGTTTCCTTCTTACCATTTAAACCTGTGTTATTTTTATTCGGTTATTTATGTGCTCTGAAGATGTGGCTTACATTAAGTCGCAAAACGTCGGAAATATAATTTTCTGCTCATTGAAATACAACAAAAAGGATGTTTTCCACTAACTTTCTATCCAATGATCAATTTATTTGAAACTGTCAAATTCAACATTGAAATTGATACCTACAGTAAAAAGTTTGTTTAAATAGTGTTGTTGAATTCGCATTATTAGTTGCACTTATCTCTAACTGTAAACACTACTGAGGCATTTTTTGTTACAATATAAGGTTTTTAGTTTCGAAAGTGACATTCTATTTCATGCTTTCGCCCAAACAATACTTCATATTATTTAGAGTTGTTTTAAATGTCAAGTTTCGATTGGTATCTGACCGCATTTACCACTTAATTTGTTTGGCGTTTCTTTTTATTACAGCCAAATGTTCTCCTCAGATTATGATGGTTGTGAGTCTGACAGTAGTTCATCCAGGTAATTTATGACCATCAATCATCATTCGTGTCATTTTATTTCGTTAAAGTGATTTGTGTTATGACAACAGAAGTGTCAATGCGATCGAGATCTCCAAAGCTAAAGCTATGGAGTTTGATGAATTAATGAACAAAGAACTTGATTTACTGATCAGAAGCGTTCACCATAAAGCACCGGATTTGAAAACAGGAAAAAAGCAAAATAAAAATCTCAGAGTGAGATTTAAAAAGCATCATGACGATGACGGTATGTTTTACTGCTTATTAATGATTTGTTTTCAACGCATACAGATGACTTTCCAGTAGATAAAGATCCACTTTGCGATTATGAAGAAGATGAGGCTAATGCTAAATGGGTACAAGAAAATCTCCCTGGAGGGAAGAGCGAGAAATCTGATGCCATCCTTAACTGTCCTGGATGTATGTCTGTGTTATCTCTAGTTAGTCATAGGTAAGTTTGGGCTTTATTTGAGCCGAAATATGTGTTGTAGTTCTGTGCTATTAAGCTTCTTGTAACGACTGGGAATAATCGAAATCTACCTTAAGCCTCATGTGGTTAAGCGAAGATATACTTGTATACGTAAATGTCTGGTTTTGATTTTAGATATGTAGGTACCCACGGTATTATTAAACCCTAACTAGAAATTGTGCATACAGGATAAAGGATTTTAGCTACTTAAGTACATTACTGGCTTGGATAATACCACATGTTTCGTCATAACTTTAGCATTAACCCTTTATGGGTTTTCAAACAACTATTTTCAGAACATAATTATTGAAGTGTCTGCGAAAAAGTGAGACTTTGTATCTATTATTCCGTTCATTTATAGTCGCTCACATTCATGCCTTCATTCACATCTACTCTGTCAATCATTTTCACGATGATTTGGTGCATAACAGTTAATCTTGGGGTACTTCTGGTTTATAACTCAACGTCTCCTTACATCTTCGTGGTAGGCTAAGTGGATTAAGCGATTTGGATCGCATCAATATGATAAAGAGTGTGATTAGACATATCTCATTATAACATGACATACTAGAATAATATTAAAGCGTGATGAGTTATTTTATATTAATACTTTAAAATTTTGTTCTTGATTAGCAACATTGAGGAATAAATAAATTTTAAACCATATATGGTTTTTTAATTTTAGGCACCCACATTTCAAGACACAATATTATACAGAATACCCTATCAATTGTATTGTGGACGAAACTCAAATCATATCTCGAACGATATCAAAACCACAAAATGCGAAAAAATCTCCAGAAAGCAGTTTGAAATCAAACCGGAATGTCATGAAGGAATATCACCCGGTCACTTGTAAAGTATGCGGTAATTCAGTCGGATGTAAGGAAATCCAGACCAATATGATCTACTTCAATGACATACTTGCAAGTCATAGTTAACCGAAGGGAATTTTTGCACAGGATAAGTGGTATGGCTACTTAATAATATTAAGTAGCTTGTTCCGAGTAACATCAATTCATGGACTAGGACTTTTTGTGAACAACTTTATTTCACTGTATATAAGTAAATTGCTTTTTTTTATCTCGGAAATTAATAAAATCTCGAGCAAATGCATTTCATAATTGTTTTTCATCTAAAATACTTAAAACAAGAATCCAGAAACTGTTAGCTTATTCCATTTCTTTAATTTAGTCCTTTACCATGTCATGTAATTCACATTGAAGTCGAATTGTTTGTTTTTCATGATGAGGAAAACCTAATAAGTTTTTTGCATAAAAAATAGGCGCTTTGAAAATTTCAGGCCTCAAAATAATAGTTGTTACTGTCGTGAAATTTCTTACAAATGTAGCATCTGTCCACAGATAAACGTTAAACTTAGAATATAATTGTAAGCGAAGGTTATTATTTTCATCTTATCACAGTTATCTGTGTGGGAATCTGTTATGGATGTGAAATTCCTAAATGCAACTTAGAATAAAGTTAATATCTACATAATATGAATTTTAGTTATATTAATTTATTCAATTTGAATTCTGTTAATGAACTTTCAGAACTTTCAGAAATTATAGTCATCGTAACCAATATATAACTGATTGTCTTAAATTTATTTTGAATTCTACTGAATTTTGACCAATAAGGCCTCTATACAGCAACAGGACGTCTTACTCCAGTTATTGGGGCAGGGAAGAAGACAATAACAATAGTCTCATTCACCGTATTGAAGATGGAGTCGTGAAGCCGTAGCTTAGGACACAAATGTATTAACTAGGGACGAGGTTGATGAAAGGTTGATCATACACCCGGACTCAATGACTTATCTAAGGACAAACGAGATGAATCCTAACAGTGTGCTCGTACTACTGTGAAGGAACGCTGTTATCAAGTGTCGAAAACAGACCGAATCAAACACTCATATACACCGGATAAGTAACAGAGAGGGGCAAAATATGCTACAACATGACTCCTGTCAAGAAGAAAGGAGATCTCAAATAACTTATGTGTTAAAGAATTGGGATTTAGTGTTGCTTGAATTACATAAATGTGCTAAAATCGTTTTCATGTATTGCAATTCAATTATTCGTCATAATAATGGATGCACGCAAGTTTTCCAGGGAAACGACAAAAAAGGATGTAACCTACCGAATAGAACAAATGCAGAAGAATCCTAATAAAGTTTAATTAATCATCATCGATGATTTATTGTTAGTTCTACGATTTCACGTCTGTATGGACCGCCAAAATTACACAAGAAAAATGTTTCTCTTTGTTCTATAACGAATACAAATAACACCCTATACCATGCAACTGACAACTGAATTGTGCAAATTCCTTAAATAGCTGGAGACCAGATCAATAAACATAGCGCCAACAGTTAATTTACTTCCATAGACACCAATGTATTTGGAAAAAGAATGACTTCATTAAATGTCGCCTCACTTCTCAAAAATACTCCTCTTACACAGAGACAATTTGTTCACTGTGAATAGATTGCAAATGATAATATTGGGATTCCAAAATAATATCTAAAGAAATCGCTGTTACACTACACTATGAGTGTATAATTGCGATTTAATAATGAGTTATACAGACAAATGTGTATGGCATTAAGGTCGCTACTAGGTCTTCTCTTATCAGAAGGCTTAATAGTCAATCTGGAAAATACCATTATTCGATTAACAGTTAGTGACTTTTGTTTTTACGAGGTATGTATGGATGATATCTTCATTATCTGTGACGAGAGTTGGGATCTCAACAGAATTCCACATGTGCCACCAGAAAGTCAGAGTTGAGCACAGAATTTCACTTTTTTTATGTTTTTATGAAAAGGAAACCGGATTAGTCTCTGCAAAGACCAGTGTATAAAAGAACGACATGAGACTGACAGCGTACAAACTTCTAGATTTGGATTTCACTAGGCAGAAAGATAAACCTACTACATTCCGTATTGCTGAGAACCACAAGAGTTCGCACGGAGGGCACACTCTGCAAAAAAACTAAACAGAGTCGGAGAAATGCTCATAAAAACGGAATTTATCAGATTCATTTACAAATAACTGAAACGAGAGAGCTAAATAAAAAGAAGAAATAGTACTGAAGAAGATTTTGTTCTTGTATATTGAGCTTAAAGCGAGGGAGTATAGTTGCAGTGATCTTAAGAAATCATTGTCAAAATTGTTGAGTGAGATACTCGATTCAACTGAACTACGGATTGCATTATGCAGTAACTAATTCAAGGATGAACCGTTGCTTTGGTTACCTCCGTGTGCATCTGTCAGTTTATTTGCTCGTGTGGAATATGTTGTTGTTAACTCCAATATGTATCCTCTTTCCAAAAGCATATCTGAACACTACCGAGTATGGTTATCAAAATGTGAATGCGACCCGGCTACTATTTTTATTTTTAAACTGTTTCAATTCTAAATAATTCATGAAGTCAAGCGAACTGGTTATAAGGGCATCCGATTGAAAAATATGTGTATAGCAAAGGGTTTGACGGTTCGTCAATTCAAGGTTGGTCTTTGAGATCAAAAGTGATATATCTAATCCCTTATTTAGCGATGATCCTAACACCTTATTTTAAATTGTTATGATATGTATCCGTCTCTTTTCTCCATATATTCGCCAAGTGAACACTTAACTTCCACACCTCTTTTCTATGTTGTTTTCATTCTTATTACTCTTAAAATTTTTGATTAACTCTTGTTACCTGTGCTAATGACTCAACATTTTTAAATTGTATTATACATTAATATGTGTAAAATAACTGTAGATACCATTGTACAACTTGAGAAAATAACATCAATAAGTTTTTTTCTTCCGAACTGTTTTTATTTTACCCAGTTGTTATTACATAGTAGTGCCAAACTGTGAATACAGAACTAGTTGGATTCAGAAATAAGTATAGTAGGGTCTTGAATGATGCAGCTTATCGCATCCATTTATCACGAAATTCAAACCAGTTTCCTGACATAGATCCTATTTATGAGTGTAGTTCTACTAATCACGTTAATATCAGTCACAAGTAATTTTTCTTACTTTTTTGTAAATTAAAAAATGCGAAACTTGCTACTATAGAATATAATAAGTTCGAATATTTTCACAAACATTTTAGCTGATAACAATAAAATCTATTTGTCCAGAAGTATTCCCTGACGAGAGTGATTTGGCTTAGTAGATGGTATAATCTCAGAACACAACTTATATAAATTGTTTGATATCATTTGTAAAAGTAAACAATATCTATCCATAGGCATATGCATTTGTCTGTTTACCACTACTCAAGCTCTAGCTATCTTCAATTCCAAGCTAATTCTACGTCTACATTAAATGGGCTTTAAGATCTTTTCTAACGTCTGAGCCCTAGTTCCTTATACGCTTTCATATTCTTCTTTCTCTGTCTGTGTTTTTCCTAAACTTCAAGGGCATTTCTTTCTGAGTGCAGTATAATTTGTTATGCTCGACATAGATTTACAAATTTTATTTTTATCTCATAGCATGTCATATTCATATTCACAATGACATTCATTTACACAATTTGAAGGAAAATTCTACCATAATCTCTTACATGTGCTCGACTTTTAGCCTTGTATAATTTTCGTTTTTTCTTATCATTTTGACGATTCATATATTGTATTTTATTCAGTGGTATTGACCTTACTCCACAAGTTAACGAAATCATATTATTATCATTTAGATTATAATTTCATATATATTGGTACATCATCTGACAATAAAGTCGTCACAATGATGATTTTTTTGTCGAAAGATTTGTTTTGTGTTTGGAAGTGGTTTAATAACCCAAACTAGAACTGTGATTATACGGAGTTAATGCAGCTTAAAATTTGCCTAGTTCACAGTTTTTTACTTTTATTAATTGGACGATTAATTGAAACAATCTAAAAAACCTTTCTCATATATAATTCGCTAAATATTTAGAAACAAAGAGTATTATCTATAAGCTTTAGATGTACTTGATGTAGTTTAAATCTGATACGATGTCGGTTTATCCGTTTTAAATCTACTGACTTATGGAGCGTGATGTTTGCGGAATTCGTGACGTTCGTAACACTAAGATTGTGATGATTAATTCGTACATCTAAATAGTATTAATGATGATAATGTATCTAAATCGTACAATGTAAATTATCTCTAACCACCTACTCAAATTCATGCAGTTCTCTTGAAGATGATCCACATTCATAAGAAATAACTATAGGACGGACTGTTCAATACGGAGATTATTTTGAGATGTGTTTGGTAATAATGAGAAAAGATAAAATATTTAATTGAAATAAAGTAGAATTAAAAACTTGTACAATGTATTCAGCCCTATTTGTAAATTTCTAGTTTTTGAATTACTGTTATGATTCTTTTCCAATACTGCAATTTATTATTATGCGGTTAATCGAATATTATTCCTTAAAGATGAGTCCGATTAGATCTTAGTCAGTTATAAAAAATGTAAGACCTGTGACAGAAATTCACCTGCCGAAATTGTCATTACAAAGACAAAAAATTAATAAAAGTGTAAAGTAAAACAGTGGAAATGGTGGAAAACTAAATTCTGATAGTATCGTTCGAGAGTTCAAGGAATTAACAATCTGAGTAATGTAAACACTAAAGATTTACAGTTAATGAAATTGACTATGAGTTGTCATTTATGGTCTATCAAAAACTACAATCTCTGCTTGGATTCTAACCAAGGAGTCAACACTTCTCTGTACTGCATAGACAATTGTTGAATGACTGCTCGAACTGTGCGCACGCTTTGGTGTAGTCGACTCTAATAACTTCCTCACTCCGATTTTATGTTAGCCATCATGACAGATAACTAGTATCTGAATACGCAGTTTCTATGTCACAACCTTGATAGATTAGACCCATTTATAAAATATAAGTCTGACTTAATTGGATGGTATACTTGTTATTGTATAACTTAATAATGTTGATTAGTTTTCATATGTACAAATGACACATCAGAAAGTATTACATTTTCAATAACAAATCTGATGACCCAAAATTACTGTTTTCTATATCAAACAGTTGAGAGACTACGAAATAATAAGGAAATATACTTTTGGAGAGCTATAACTATACACGAATGCTAACATTTTACTGATTAGGACCAGCTCGTCTCGTTACATGAGTAAATCAATCAGCATAAAATGGCTAATCATCTCTTTGGTATAAACGAATTCAAGTTATATTATTGAAGGAATAATGCAAAAACAAAGTTAAATACCATCTGAGAAGTTTTAGCAAACATCATATCTCAAAGAGACACTATAATGTATACTACTTGTGTACGAACAGATACAAGTAGTATATATCAGGAATTGAAAGTAGGATTTCTAACGGACAGAAAAGAAAAACAGAAAGCAATCAAAATAACAACAGTAATGAAATAGAGGACTTAAGGAGGGTGGGCAAATATTGAATTTAATGTATTGTTTTCATAGTTTACAAATACAGTGTAATTTACATAATACTACACGTTGATTCAATCTAAAAAAGGTCTTCATTCACTAGTATACTTCCACTACAGCAACAATCAGCCGTCAAAGTTCATCAAAAAGATTTTATGCTGTTAAAAGAATCCGGAAAAGACTAGTACATAGCATAATGAAGGATAACTTCTTCTAGATAGCAGTAGCAAACTGCACAACTTTACATAATTATATTTCATTTGAACATAATGATTCATAATCATATTGTAAAGAAAATCAACGTTTAAGCAAGATTGAACAAGTGATAAGTTACTAATTTTCGACCGGACCTGTTTCTCACATATATTGATTATAATTATTCCTATGATGATGTTTAGATAAAACTAGATAAATAACTTTTAGATTTAGTGAGTTGTTTTTATGAATAGTTAAGTAAATGTAAGATATTTTCTTTTAATGATTGAAGACACTTAAAAGACAATAGAAAGGCTTCAAGCGTTGAGGAGTGTTTGACCTCGAGTAGAGTCGTAACCGCTAAAAAGTCTAGAACTAAAATGAAACACTACCAAAATAACAATTTATTGCTTCCTGACTGTCAATCTATATTAGTTTGTAGTGAAAATCAGCTTCCCAGAGTAATCTTTCATTTTACGAATTTTTTTAACTTGTTAATAATAAGCCACAATAAAGCACTTTAAAAACAATCTAATTTATATTAGACTAACCAAAATATATGAAACGATCTTCGATAACTTCATCATAGTTTGACTATATATAACAGCAAAATCTTAATGTAGCTAATCAGTATATTGCTTCTTTCTAGGACAGAATCACAAGATTGAATGAATATTATGCTAGTATTAAAGCATCAGTACATTTATACGTATATTTCTTCATTCGTTTTATTTTATTAAAGACCGTTGTTATTGAGTTGAAATAAGTTACCCACAAACATGTGATGTGGTATATCGATTTGTTAAATTGAAAATATTGTAACAGAGAATTGATTTTAGTCATGTACTCGCTCAATTTTATTTCCCCAAAGTTTGCGATACAAAATTTGAAACAGTTTCTTTATCTATTAAGTTTGTTTTGGGTATTGATGACATCACTCGCTCATCTATAACGTAGGATCAGGCACATATATGCATCGGTTCAAGTTGCCAAACCCAGTTAGCACAACAAGATGAACACCAAATTCATGGAAGTAGTTACTTCAATGGTAGAAATAGATAAAAAAGAGATTACATATATGGGGGGAGATTTAGTTCGTAGAAAGAAAGGTATGAAGCAATTTTAATCTCACGGTTTAAGTGAAGACAAAGAGTGTATGCACCTATACCATTGTGATCAATTCTGAGCCATATCACTCAGTCTCTAACCACTCCTTATGATAGTCGCGCAGACCCCGCCCAAGTAGTCTGCCATAAAAACGTACGAATAAATGTTGACAGCAAATGCATAATAACATTGGCTGAATAATTGAACTTATTCACAACATATAAAATCCTTACTAATGAATAACTTTCGACATTGTGTACTATCTGCTACCTGGTGTCAATTCTTTCATCACCAATGTAGAATAAGTTTTCGATTTTGCAAGTTCCACATTATTTTAACACCTAAATGAATCACTTATAAAATCTAAGGAATAAAATAATATTGGTTAATCGAACTATTGAGGTTTTGGATTTGAAGGAAAGTTCCAACAGAAATTTCTAGTTTCGATTCCAGTGACAGTGAGACAGTTGTTAATCTCTATTGTTTCTTTTTAGCAATCTAATGATTGATCTTCATTTCTTTACAACGAGAGTCATCTTGAAACTAAACGAAAGGTATCACAATATGAATACTAAATCTCATTTGCTATTCCATTTGATAAACATTTTAATCATAATTAGCTTTGATAGCTATTCTTACAACAAGAATTTGTTTTTTGCACTTCTCTTTCACATACATACGCAGTATAATTTTTTATTCTCGGATTTTAGTTTAGTTTATCATCGTTTATGTAGCAAAACAAATTTAAACTTCGTACATAACAACAAGAAAACAAGATTGTGTATAATACATTGATTACTTATATTATCATACACCAAGCCATCAGATATTGTTCTGAGAAAGAACTGCTGACTCTCACCCTAAATAATGAATCTTGGTAGTGTAAAAGCAGAATAACTAGCAAACTGAGCTACATTTCTCTTCACTTTAAATAATATGACATTCTTCTGAGAAACTTAAATGATCTGAACATTCTCTGTCAATGCTTGTCATTTGATCACCCTCAAATGTTATTTAAATATAGTTAGATAAAGACATTAGAATACAGTTCAAGGTGATTGACAAACAATTTGGTTAGAAATTCCTAAATCTGAACAATATGAGAGTCAAAGTCTTAGATGTTTTGGAAATCAATAAAGATTATCAGTTATCCATTCAGCTTAATGAATTAGTTGAATTCATATCTAGTCACATTTTATTAGTTCAATATTGTTTTAATTATTAATGAGTCGAGTGGTAGAGAATACCTCGTCATATATCCCACTTGATAGTTTACATTTATCCTTAAAAAATGATTATCATGCATACTCGACTGATAAAAATCAATTTATTTTAGTCGCATATCTGAATCTAAGGTAACAGCTAGATTTGTCGACTGAATGAATGTGTATTCTCAATTCGAAGTTCACACTGAAAATTCATACTGATCACTCCAAACACCAAAACGTTTTTTTACTAAGCTACTAGGTTCATGGTACTCAATAAGTTATTCGACAGGTTTGACAAGAAAATATGAAACTTTACAATTAATCGTTTTTTTCTAGACAAAATTTCTGTTCTATGCAAAACAGGTATTTATAAAAGTTTTATGTTGCTGTACATTATTCTTGCATCTCTTATTGTCACCGAAAGTACCAAGATAGTTAGCATTAATTCATGAAAACAAATCAGGACATATTCTGTATCAGTATAAAGTTTTCTCACATGTTCTATTCACGTATTGTTTACAAACAATAATGATTCTTAATGATAATTTTGGATGTCATTTTGAGCACTGTCACATTTACTGTCGTACCTTTTTTCCAATAATCATCATTAATTGTCTGACAAGAGTCTTTTCGCTGCATCTCATCTAATTTTATCTATTTGTATTTTTGCAGTTCGCATCACGAATGTCGCCTGGCTTTTTCGCCACTTCTAAAAAGTGTAATATGGGTAAATTGAGTGAAAATTTGAAGCAGCAGAGAAGCTTGGAGGTTTGTGATGCATATTTTATTAACTGAAAGATTAAAAAACACTAACACTTACACTCAATAGTAGCCAATAATACCACATTGTCTTACCTTCACTATTGATTGAATTATTTAGCCTAAATTAAAGTGTAGTTACATATCAAGATCGGAATTTTTGTAAATTGTGATTAATTGGAAGAAGTCAGCAGCAAGATCGGTACACAAGTTGTATGCTAGACAGGATTTGAATGACAGAATTATGTCACCAATAAGGATTAGATAAAATAAAACGTGTTGCTAACCAATCCTACAGGAAGTCAATAGCACTCCAAACAGATCAGCAGTAACATTTTCGTGCTGAGAGTCCGACTGCCACAGGGAATATTAGTCCCCTTATAGTCAAAGATCCACAATTATGAAAAATACCAATAAGCACGATATGTAGGTTTAGAGCTTTCTGTAAAATGCCCTCAGTCATCTAACATATGTAATCACAGATAAAATGCAAGTTGTATGAATAAATTCGATAATGGTATAAACAGAATATTGGTTAAAATAATAATTGTTTCGAACTGACACTTAATGAACAAAGAAAATCATCAAAGTTCAGTTTTAGGTGTATTATACATTTAAAGACCAATATTCATTATAAAGGAGGATTTGGCATGCATACATCAAATGAACTTTTATTTTGAAAAGTTTGCATAAATATCCATTTTCTTTTCTAAAGAATTCATCATGTTACAATTAGTGAGATGGTCACTAATCTATTCAAAATTTCATTTGAATAACCTTTGTGTAAATATGGGATTGCTTAACAACATTCTCCTCTATTCTAGAGTTTTTTCAGTGTATACCAGGTAAAAAAAAATCGAAAATAAGAACTTTATTGGTTTATTACTAAGAATAACTTGCAGGTGACTACGGATGAAGTTATATATATATATGTATATATTCCAATCTTGCTGCCGACTGCTCTCAACCACATTGTACTGTTTGCTAAATCAATCAATCAATAATGAGGATAAGACAACGTATTATTTTTTTAAGTCAGTGGGCGTTAATGAAGATATATAAATAATAATTTTACATATCCTAATGGATTTCCAAATTTCATATAGTAAGCGAAACTAAATATTAATATTTACGAACCAATTTCCGCTATCTTGTTGTGAATAATCAATAATCAACAAAAAATACAATGGTTGTGAGCGACCTTAACGTAGGAAAAACCAATAAAGACTTATTTATAAAAGCCAAAATTATGTATGAGCTAATGATTGGTTTTTGTGGGAATTGATGAGCCAATTTATTTCCGTTGCTAGGCTTTTGTTGCTTCCTTTCTACACGGAATAAATTCATAAGTAATTGGTAATGATCAATTTAAGTGTACTAGTTGTTAGCTTGATAACAACAAGAAATAGTAAATGTTATTGTAGAATAGATGTACAAAAAGTAACTCGTATTACAATGTAACAACATTAAGGTATAACATATTATGAAGTGATAGGCAATGCTGGCTTGAAGATTTGAAATAATAAAATTTAGCATCAATAACTATACAGACAAATATATATAGTTCTGTGGAACTTGGAAACTGATAAGATGGATTACGGTAATAATTATGGTAGGCCTAAAGAATTTACATAAGTCTTAAGGATTAAGCGAGTGAAACATATAGATGAACTAAACTATTATTTAAGCATTGATGAAATAACATTTAGCCTAGCGAAGATGACATTACAGAATGAACACAATAACATAATAATAATTTCAGGTGACTGTCCAAAAATGTAAATTTACAAATAAGGTTGTAAGCCACATAAGAGAAACAGCGAAATACAATAAATTCACATTGTTCTGCTTCAATCGTAGTTTCGGCTTTGTTCAAATATATAAAGCGAACTAAGTGTAAGAGTACAATTATTTGAATCAAGATTATTAACTGAAACAGTAGTAAATTACTAATACATAAATACGTCAAAAGATACTTGTTGTTTTATTTTTTTGGCCTAATGATCACTTTTTCTTTGCCAAGAAGTTCACTTTCTTTGAAATAAAAAGATTCAATTGAGAAACTTTTATTTTATCATTTTTAAATGACACTCAGATGAAAACCTTTATTTACTTCTAGTACACACAACCTAACATCTAATTTTTAAGAAAATAATCTAGTAAACAATTAGCTAATTAAAGTTAACTATTATATTTATGAAATATTATGGTTTCTTTATTTGTATCAATTGAGTGACAGAGGTCACATATTTGGAATTCAAGAAAAAGCTTTACAGAATTTTTCACTGAAACCACAAACTTCTTGTATTTTTATATGATTGATTCTATTACTATTCTATTACTATTTCATGAAAAAAATAACGTGATTATCAACATTGGAATACCGGTACATCCAGCTGACGAGCACTTAATAAGATAAATCATGTGACATAGATTCCACTCCTGGCCATACTCCATCCACAGTTAATTTAAAAGATACAAATTCATTAATGTAGTGGTAATCATGAATTTTATTATCAAACATCGTATGATTACCAAGATTTATTGTATCAGTTGTAGTTGTTGAAAAACGTATATACACACAACAGAGGAATTAGATGAACGATCTTTTTATTAATCACTGCAAAAATAATTCAACCAACATATAATAAACAAATTAATTATAAATTTATATTAATAGAGATCACACCAAATTCTTAGGTTATTAGAACGTGAACGTATGATGTTAAAATGTGGAAAACTAATTTTATATTCAAAATCAAATCTGAACATGGTAACCAGTTGTTTGCAAAATAAACATGTGAAAAGTTAATATTTACTATATTGTTTATGTGACCAAGAAATCACATGGTCTGAACAACATAAATGACCTGTTAATGTAACCAATCCTGTCTAGAATGTTTAATTTACTAGGACAATGGAAAATAGTTTATTATTCTTAGGAATTTTTACCTTTTAGCATTGCTTTAATGTAAACTAGTTGAGAAAATGGTTTGATTACAGTTCTCAATCGTTTTGAACACGGGGATATTATTTGACAATAGAATCAAATGAATCACCATTGAAAACAAAATTGCATTGGATGCTTATTTCATCATTGTTCGGAATATATTCATTCATATTATTCAACAATGAATTGGTCACCTGGACTAAGTTAGAACATGTAAAAACAGTACACTGATTCACTTCTTCACAAAACAACATGGAAACCAAAGAAATGATGAGTCAGATTACTAACAAGAAGCAGAGAAATAACACCCGATGGAGAGTATGGATTAACTATGTTGCATATTCACATACTGTCGCTAACCACTAGTTTCTAACTGTCCAACTAGTGAAATGAATTTTTGAGTGGGGATGAACTCCACACTGTCAAGTCATCTAAGTGTATAGCAGTCAGTAGTAGCGGTTATGTCTTGGTTTATTTGGTCACTTATTGTAAATATTTCGGAATGATTTCTACCATAAAATTAATTGGCATATGTGGATTACGAGAGCGAAATTAATAATACTCGCTTCATTTTGATTAGTTGCCAGGCGCAAGATCAAAAGGGCAAATGACAGTGGAGTTTATCCTTAGTCGAATGTGCCTCATACCAGTAGTTACTTATTTGGTGTGCTAGTAGTATATCTCGATTTGACTATTATGAAGTCCTCTCATTTACGACGACAAAGGATATTAAACAGAAGCGAAATGAAATAAATTTTGCGATAATACTTGAATATTGATTAAGTTTAAATTTCAGTGTCCATATACTTTGTGTCTAATCGATTCACGTATGGAACCGTAAGTCTTTTACAACATTAGATATAGGATTCAGTTTTCTGAAGAAAGACTCAGATCTAAGTTTATCCGGAACAGCAACCATGACCAACAATAAAATAAGTGAGAACACTAGAGGAACAGTCTAAAAACGTTAAGCATGCACTCCAGTATTTTCAATATAATGTTCTATCGGTATACGTTTTTCATATAGTTTCTGCAGATTTGCTTTGGCTCCAAATTTGAAACAGTTCTGCACACACCATCATTGGTTGCAGCATTAGGATGACAGACAAGATGGCCGTCATGAGTGTCAAGAAAAGCTGGTGTAACAGTATGTGGCGAGTGATACTCACGTAATGTGTCAGAAATATGTATGTAAAATTATATGGATCCGGATGATGTGATTTCACCTGGATATACTATGATTGCGTAGACTGAGCTGTTTCGTGCATATTTCAAAGTGGATTGATGCATAGTTCGTACTAAACTCGATTTTTTGAAATTCACTTTAATTGTTATGAGGTAAAGAGTGGAGCTAGTTGCCATAGCAGTTTCTGTGATTACCTTTTTGTATTAAAATGTTGATCACATTTGGCTTTTGTTTCCTCGAATGTTTGTTCACAGAGCTGGACAGTCTTCTTGTTGTGGAATGACTCAAATAAAAGGCTTTTGAGATTTCCTGACCGATGGTTTACTTTTTGCATTTATCATTTGAAAGTCACTTTTGAAACAAGTAAAAAAATAAATTTACATGTAAAATTAATAAAATTGTAACTATTTAATCTACAAAATACTAAAAGCATTTTAGTTGTATATGATATATTTATGCCTGAAATGATGATGGCATTTATTAACAGGGCTTTCTCGTCTTCATCTAGCATTTAAAGAAGCGCCAACTGACTAAACGAGTATTAATTTATGTGAAGATGTACAAGTCACTAAGCTGTGTGCAAGAAAAGAAACCATCCATCATATTCTGACGGAGTACAGTTCAACTTCTAGGGTTAGATTTAGTTTATAATCTAAACGCATTTCATCTAGCTCTTTTAACGCTCACAAAATATTGATGTGAACAATTAGATACAGGTCACTTTATTGATGGTTGATCGGTTCTTGGGCATAGTTATATAAACGTCATTAAATTGACCCAAACTGATTAATTTGGCTGGTTTGATATCATGTCCCGGTCTGACTAAATTAGTATAGTTTACTTCAAAATAAATTATATATGAACGTGCGCAATAAATGTACAGACAAATAAAACCCTGCAAAATGACATCTGCATTTCTAACTTATCGGCATAAGACAAGTAACTAATGATGATTTGGACAATATATTTATGGTCTCATCTAAACATTAAAGAAGGATTATTTTATAACTTCATATCACTGAATTACATGTTGAAATAGTGATTCAAAATTCAATATTTCAACAGTAACTGTAAAAGGGAATTGAAACACTGTCAAGATTGAGTTCAGTCTATATTGTTAATAGTCGGCCATAAACAAGTCATCCAATATCGGTGAACATTTATATTACGGTTAGACTGATAATTGTTATATAATCACTTAATTCTTGATAAAGTACAATATTTCAAAACAATGTTTTCATCATAAATATCTATCAAAAACTTAACAACAGCATCAATATCAAGATTGGACATGATAGTTTCAAATAAATTGAGTATTGGGTGGAAAGTTAATGATAGATAAATATATTTTTGTTGTGTCCCAATGAGTAGAAAAATGGTGACTTACATTAAGTCACGAAATGTCAGAAATACAACAAAAATATATTTATTATTGACAACAGCGTTACTATTACGATAACTATAAGCACCTTGTAGTGTTCTCATTTTTCCATATACGGTGTTCTATGAGTGTCCTTATATTGAGTAAACCTTGAAATAACACCATAAATACAGTACTTGTTCCAGATACAATTTTCGGATCATCCTAGATAGTTACGATAAAAATATTTTGTACACACCATTCGCAAAGATATGAACATAGCCTACTGTGAGAATCTATACCCACTATAGATTAAACATACTACTAATAAGATATGGTTTTTTGTGAAATTTGTAACAATTAGTTATTAATATGTAGGAATCTTTCACTGGAAACATCTCACTACACTATATTTAATATGATCTAAGCACACAAATGATTGTTATATGGACAGGTGAACCTAATTGTTTCATATTTAACGTCTTATTGAGAAAAATGCTAAATACGGAATAATGGAACATATATATGATACATACAGGATCACACCATGAGTGGAATAGATGCACAATCAAATGAATCTACGATCGATGAAACATGTATACAGTACTACTAAGAAAAACTTGAAAATCAAACATAATTAAGTGACCTTGGAATTGAGCACTTGTAAAATAACCGTGAGGTAAGAGAAAAACTATTGTAAGAAATACAAAAGTAAACTCTGCTGTGTGATACACTAATTAAGTAGGTGACTCACTATAACTTCTCAATGTTATTTAACCGATTTAACATCATGTGTTCAGCCAAATTATAACTATTAGCTAGTGCTTAAACGATGCATACACTAATTGGTGAAGTTGAAGGGACACAAAACACTGGACATTACGGCAACAATCTCATTCACTTCATTAAATGAAATATTCTTATTTAAAGAAAGCCTAATTTCACATGAGTCAGTTTAAGGTAACTAAAAAAATTAACCTTATAAAATAAACAATCAATTCCAAATGGAAATAACTCGGACGGTGACTAATGCATAAAATAATAAATTCAGTATAGTAAGATATAGACCAACGTTCCTACTGTTTTAAGCAACATAATGAGTAGAAAACTAACTGGAAACAACTTTGATTCCTTTAAAATATGCACCTGATTTCTGCTATTACTAACCAAAAAGGGGTTGACTGAAATAATCTGAATTTACTAGGAGAATCAGATAAATAAGAATTTAAGTAACATGTAAAGGTCGATATAAAAATTATCATCTGGAGAATCTGCAAATGTGATTATTGTTGCCTTCCACTTTCCGATGATAACACTAGGATTTTCAGACTAATAATGCTTTCTGATAATAAATACATTAATTTAGGGTCTCAGTGCGAGCATTAACACTGTAGACACATACGGGATGAAACGCGCGTCTTGGATTACATTGATAGCCTTGATGCAAATTTATTAAGACTTGTAACTAAATGAACTACCAATCTAATCAGCTAAGAATGCATATATGTTAGTAGAGATTGAGCAAATGTAGCGCTAATATCGACAACGGGAAAACTCCAACTCATCCACTGAAATCTAGTTTAAGAATGACGATATTCGGCCAGTGTGATGCCTTTGTTAAAAAAGGTTCGTAAAACCATAGCGCTGATATTTACAGAACTCTAGCACCATACAGCACCTGCAAGTAACCCGCTGAGTCTCGCACTACGTTTATGCTACACAGTATTCTGGTTTGTTCTGTTTTAGATAGGAAGTAACACACATGTCATAGGTGTCAGCACTAGCTTGTTATGGAATCGAAAAATATATAAAAATGCAGTTAAATGCTGACAGGATGGGGACTTCCGGATACGTAACGCGACATCTCAAGATCATAAGGTTTGTGGCTTGTCCATTACTTCGATGATATATATATATATGCATGAAGCGTGTATATCAGTGTTCGAACTTATAACATCGAGATTATAACGCATCCGTACTCTGCATAGCTGATTAGAGAAGCGTTAGGAAGCATGTAATAGTCATTGAATCAAAGCAAAGGCCAAGATCGACATAATGTTTTGGGTAAAGCGGATGCATTAGAAGTTATGAGTGGGAAGCCACGAACCATGAAGAGAATATGATTTTTATTTTCTCTTCAAATCTTTCCTTTGGCGATATAATGTGTAGCTATTGAATTGACACATTTACTCCAGGTGTTAAGTTATTGGGAGTCCATCCAAGTGATGTCCATAAAAATGGTTACAGTTTATCATAGGAATCAGTTCAGCACGTAATTTTATACCCAGGCTTTTTCTCTAACAATCATATGAGAAGTAGGTATAAAGGCAGTATTTTAATATATCAACTATTTTAGTCGATACAAACTAACAATAAAATCAATTGATTTGTCCCGTTAATATTCAAGTTTTATTTAAATTCAACATTACTCACTGGGTAGAGGATACTGAATACCGAAACAAGAATAATAGGCATTTTGGTTAGGTAAAATTGAACCCAAGTTAATTGTGGACATTACATTAATACTCACATATACACAAAAAACAAGACAGTCATTTAGTAAAATCTACCTTTAAAATGATGTAACTAAAAACTAACAATAAACATGTAAACAAAACAAAATAGGTGAACAATTCTAAAGATGTCATTCATAAACAAGCAAGAAAGAGCACACCAGATGTGCTTTATTGTAAAACACTTACTAAACAAAAATAGTATACAGTAAGTTAACCAAAAAAGCACTGAACTAAATTTCTATCATAAATTGCTGTTATACATCGTTCAAATATAGACACATGTAATTATGGAATAAAAAAATGACATTTCAAATTACATTCAGTTAAACCATATAGGGGACATAAAAAAAGATAAAATAAAACAAACTATTCATAATGGTTTTTGTGAAAAATGTTAGTCACCGGCTACCATATGACTGCATCTTTTTACGTTACTCCACTGCCTTGTGGATTAGACCTCTAGATCAAAGGCTCCGGGTGTAACCTACTAAGAAAACCACCTTCTTCTGTCTGCGCAGTATCACAATCCACACACAAATCAACTGACTTGTGTGTCGCAAATGTATTCGGTGCCCCTAGTACCAATATTTATGTGTTCAAATAGGTGAATAAGAATTATTACTATTACTTAGTGAATTACTTACCAACTTGTTCATAAGATATTGTTTAACTTACTACCTATGAATTGATAAATGATAGCGTGGTGTGTGTTACTGATGTCGACAGATATAAGTAGTACGTATCACCAATTAAAAGTGAAATGCATGACGGCAGAGGGTCAAGAAGATCGAAGAAAAGAGAACGAGAACAGAGAGTAATTGGTGTGGAAACGAAGAAACAATCAAGTCTGAGACAATTGATAGACATTTTGCAAGTGGAGTATTTGCTGTATGGTTCTCGAATTTTACCAAGAGATTTTGTAATTTTATATTCACATGTATTTGGTTGTCTCCACTGGTGTTCTCGTTCACTACAATACTTTCTTATCTAACTATATCTCCTCTAGTGTTGACTGATCACAGAAATGTATAATATTTGATGGAAAATTGACGAAAATGTTGAACTGAAACGAAAAACATTTATTTTGTTTATAATCAAATTTATCTCTATATAAAATGTAAACCGCACAATAAAAAAAAACAGACAAACAATAGAACGGATAAATAATAATCCGATAAAATAATGAACATAAGTACAAACAAAAAAAATATTAAAGAGGAAAATATAGATACAAGTAATACAAATATATAATAATGAACAAACGGACGAACACCCATCTGCAGGTAACTAAATAACAAAAGAAAAAAGAGAATGAATTAACAATAAAACGTAATAGATTATGCCTTTATTATTTTATACAAGTTTTAAGCCAATCTATTTTTTTCGCAAATATGAAGCACGTATGTGCGACCAAATATGATAACGTTTTTTTATCGATATGCATATTTCTGACGATTCAGGCATAAACCGCCTGTATAGTTTATGTGAATTTAATTTTTTATTATTATTAAGATCAGTATTATTAATATCAACAGACGGAAGACTATTTGCTTCTGACTGAAGTCGTTTGTGTACAGCTTCAGTTGCTGCGGAGAAACTTGGCCATAAACCTAAAAAGATAGATAAAAGAAAGGCTGGCTAATAAACTACTTAGGAAGTAATTAACAAAGATATCAACGGTAGTTTCACAAACTGGACAACCATAATCAGAATAAGCGTATTCATCCTAATATCACAAAAAAACACATTCATCATTTCCAAAATGATAGTGATTTGAAGACATTTATCAGTCTCTGTGATCTGAGCGTACCTAACGTAAGAACGTTATGCGAAATTTCAGTAAACATGTGATTTTCATTTAGAATTAATACAGTAATGTTTTGTTCTGTACGATATTTCTTGATATAGATGACGTAGAAAGCTTAGATAATTAGTTTGACTTATATTTAACTGCGATGAAAAACATTGTAATAGCGGGAAATGACAATAGACCGGAATAATCGTGTCTTATGCCAGAAATATTTTCCAATGACTTCATTATGAAATGAAATCTCCAAAATTTATCACGAAATAAAGCACACTTCTAAAGAAGTTTTCTCCATTCTACCAACATTATATTCCCGTAGGTCATATGACATGTTAATCACATTTGTATTTGTTAACTAGGAAATGTAAAAGGTGCACATGGCATATAGTAATTGACGATTAGCGTTACTGAAATATGTTCTAACAGTGTTATGAATAAAAAGCCTTGAAAATTGTAAATGATGGAGGTAGAGGGGGAAAATTTTGTACATCATCGTGAAGATCTGTCATCCCCTTTAACTTTACGTTACTGTATTCAAATTTCGATGTTCATAGTTGAAAGTCAAAATTTTATGTTTTGATGAGGATTTGTTTATCTATACATCATTGATGGTTCAGGTGAGATTCTGAAACGGGAAAAACGACCTAAGAAAAGCTTCAATAAACAGCCACTACGTAATAGCCTACTGTCCACAAACTCAAATTAGCGTGAGAGCTGCCGATTATGAGTACAAAAAGATGATGTTTCATATCCTCTTTATATGTCGAATGTAGTTCATTTAAGTTCATGGTATTTAATACCTGAGATAATGTTATGTACTTTGATATGTAAAAAGCTTCTGGCAAGAACTAGCTTCGGTCATTGCTACCGACACAATATATTAACAAATACTGAATAAGCCCCAGTGAAACACACTATTGTGATACTTATTTATTTATTTTAACACATAGATATTGGTACAAGGAGGCACCAAATACATAAGCGCCACACAAATCACATTTGATATGTGTGAGGGCTGTGATACTGCCCGGGTGCCCAAACCGAAGCAAGTGGTTTTCTTAGGGGGACCCACAACCGGAGCCTTCGACTGGAGGTCTGATTCACAAAGCAATGGAGCATCTTAAAAAGATGCAGTCCCACAGTAGCCGGTGACCAACGATTGGTTCATACGCCATTTGTTCCAACACGATACTGCAGCCCATGTGCACCATTGGTTTGGAATCAGGGTTTTTCAACTCACCTAGGTGGACTCTCCATGTCCACCAACCCGGTTAATGCGCCGGACATTCGCTTTTCGTCCTCTTAATTTCGTAAACAACATCCCCGCCACGATAAGGCAATGAGTAGGACTTCCCTGGCAGAGGCTATATACGCGTGGCCATGTGAGAGCATTTCGAGAGGGAGAGCGGATTCTCCTCACCCTCGAACGTACCAGGGCATTTGGGACAATTATTGTGATACGGGAAAAAATATTTAATTTTCAGTATAGGGTTGTAGAGATTGCTGAACTTCATTGCAATTATGAACCAATGTTAGACCATTAATAGCCCAGAAGGCCGTTTCGTCCCAGTGTGAGACTCCTCAGTAGTAACTAACCACGACACCGCACGAGAGAATAGAAGTCAAGACCTTCGGTTTCACGCGCGAACACTTAGCTCCCAAACCAATGAGTGGGCATCCAACGATGTTATTGTCTAACCTAAATTAGTCCACGAGGGAAGTTTACGGAGTTCTGGAGAGGAGCCATGACCCGTGGAGTCCAATCCATGTCGGGTGTGAAACAGTTATCCACCTAATGTCGTGGATTGATTGAGGTTAGACATCAACACCCTCGTATAGACTCATTGGTCTAGGGAGTAAGTGTTCGTGCGTGAGACCGAAGATCCCGACTTCTATTCCCATGCGAGGGGTTTTGATTAGGCACTACCGAGGAGTCCCATACTGGGACGAAACGACCTTTCAGGTCTTTTGGGCTTTTAATGATGGTCTAACACTTATTGATTTACAATTTCAATGAAAAATATTGTAAATTTTCTGATTCTTCATATAAATTTCGAAAGTGGGGAGCGAAAAATGTTTCATTTGAATGGAATTAGAATTAAAATGAGATATATGTTTAATGTTAAATTCCTATTCATCAATGTTAGGGCAAACACGTAATATGCTACGTATAAATTAATCTCCGTTCAAATTTAGTAAGGAAACAGGTTGAATACATTTCTTTTTAAAAACAGTATATTAACAGAAAAATCGAGTGATTAACACTGTCTTTTGTGTGAATGTGTCCAAACCACAAGATTTAGAATAAAATTCTAACTTGTGACAAAATAAGTGAAAAACAAATGTCGGAAACAACAAGCCAGAAATATACATATAGAGAAATATTGACAAAATCTAGAGTGGACCATCTCGCTTCTCCAAATACGTAACTTAAAACCTAATTCGTCTAAAATGTAATGAAGAACAGAAAACATATGGGGAACATTAAGTGACCTGACTGTAATCTTGGTGTGATTTTATCACGAACTAGTGAACAAGCAAAACATTGAAAGCCATACTTAGTGGTTAAGATTCAGTCTCAATGTCTATCCATAAGAATTGAAACAATTAAGCAATATGTTCATGAAACTATTTACATTATGTTTGTAGCAAAATAAAAAATATTTTTGGATAATCATGAGCAATCCAGTGAAACAGTACACAATATGGTACATATATATAATACATTTGAAAGCCTATTATAAATAATTTCTGGTCTTAAATATTAAATTGTATTGAATCTACGCTTAGTACCACTAATTTTTGTCAACCGGTTCATATTTCTTCTTATATTCTCCTACAGATTCTTTCACGTATGCTTCTCTGAATACTCGTCCAACATGTACAGTGAGAATCACAACCTATCAACGACTGAGTGTTATATATATTGAAAATATTAATTACTGCTGCCGTTGTTATTCAAAACTAGTGATTCGAAATGATTCATTTAGGATGGCAGTGAAAATGTGAGTTACTGACATTTGTCAATACGGACAAAAGAACTTTCTATCGATGTTTGCTTCTGTATAGCACACAAATGTATGCAAGAATATTGGTCAGAAGTTTGAGCTTCTTAGGAATTACTATCGGAATACAATAATAAAATATATGTCGAAAAATAGTTGATGAATTTACCTGCACCGACACCAGCAACAATTGCTGCACCCATACAACTACATTCTTCAAGACCTCTGCGTTCCACTGGGATTCCGATTACATTAGATATACGCTGTAGCAACCAATTTGAACGTGCCACATTTCCATTAACATAAAGAATAGAAGGAGAAATGCCTGGAGGAAAGGACGGAAAAATTAAATATGAGAATATAGTATTCATCAAGTTTGCATATTAATAATTCATTCACAAACAGACAGATGATGTCTATTTTGTGTGACTTCACGATCGTAGTTGAAATGTCTGGGACTCAAACCACACTATTACATTGATAAGAGAGATCAAAATTTTTAAGCATTGGAATAAAATACATACTTTCAACAGACATTAACTAACAAAGTCGGATAATCAATCAACTACAAAACATTCACACCTTAATAACAGATAGCTTGAAAGAAATTATGGGTCTATAGGGTTTCAAGATAATAAATGAACAGAATTTTCGCTACTAAAAATTTTGAATCTGTGTGTGGTGAGCAACTATAAGAGAAACTATAAAAAGATATATTTAGTAAGGATAAGATAGGAAAATAATTGAGCGAAATGGGAGTAATATGAACAAAATGTGGTACGTAACCTAACATTAAAAAAAAACAGGTTCTCTAGAAAACATATATCGATGGAGTAGCGTAGAGAAGTAGACGGTATTGAATATAACTAAGGAATAAGTGAGGAAAAACCTGAGAAAAAGTCGTATTTAAAGCAATTACTCCGTTTTATAAATTTCGATAGAGCAATGAGAAGATGGATTTAATCTGAAAAATGTGATATCTTTGTAATATACACTTCGAATAATCTGATCACACATATACTCGTCAGGGTATTTTATATGAAGATTAATAAAGGTTAGTTAAATGAAAGTTCAAGTAATAAAGGAGACAGAAATTTTTTTACGTCGTATAGAAGGAATAAGAAATTGCCGTATTACCCTTGGCCACAAAATGAACTAAGGATTACCAAGGTAAAGGCTGCGACAAATTGTTTTTGTACACATAAGGGGGGTCTGGATTTAAGAATAGTCAAGGCTTCAATAAACCTGAGAATTCGTCCTTGACAATTTCTATACAACGTCTTAAAAGCTATGTTGATGTCAATTTCATGCCCCGTTTCAATTGTGTTTTTCTATCAATGAACATGGTTTCCTACTTCCCACGTTGATCGGATCATTTGACACTAACTGGTTTTGAAGACATCTAGGCACACGTTCCATGGCCCTTAATTGCATTGTTCGGTTACTCCTCCGTATGTATGTGTGTCCGCACAAACATGTAGATTGGCAAATGAAATGGGATGTGACGTAACCATTTGTGCATTGTCTATGTCTATTTGGAATCACGGGCTTAGATTTTTCAATCCCAACCAGCTTAGCAGCATAATAAGTTTTCTCGACGGGTGCTTTCGATTTCTGTCTTTAAACCATACTGTTGGGTTCACCTCTACATGGTAGACAGATATATACTTTTTTTCGGAATCGAATAAACGAGAGGTCTTACTGTTCACTGACTTTTTCACCTGTTTATAAACTTTAGTGGATAAAGATTTGATAATAGTGTGTCAGTGAGCAGCTTTTCATCTTCTCCAACCGTATTAGTGGTGCATATTCTATGAATCCTATTTAAAAGGCATTTAACCAAGCCTCGCTTGTATTGCAATGGACAGAAACTATGGAAATTTAAATATTGCCCCCTTTATTACCTTGATTACTTGGACTTTCATTTAACTAACCTTTATTAATCTTCATATAAAATACCCTGACAAGTATGTGTGTGATCAGATTTTCCAAAATATATATTACAAATACATCACATTTTTCAGATTGAATCCATCTTCTCATTGCTCTATATAAAAAAACATATCTTTATCTAACTAAATTTTTTAAAGGTGATCACATGGAAAAGAAAACCAAAAACAGAAGACGGCTTGTGTAAAACTCCTTCTGTCACAATGTAAAGTAGACAAACATCTATCACATGTCGCCTTTGGCTGCACAATGCAATTTACATGTAAGTGCAAAAGTAAGTATGTAGGAAGAGTAGAAAGACGGTCGATTATTTGTTTTATTAAGGAAATCCCAAAGAACTTGAACAGCATAGAACATAAAAGTCTTTGCTGTTACATAACGGATACAAATTAGACACCATACACTTAAAACAACTAATAAACAGACTAGGTTCGATTTGTGGGGGTTATAGCTATCAGGTTTGAAATTGCTCTTTGCATTGAAGAGTCAGTGACTAACTTTCAACTAGCCTGCTAATTGAAAGGAACAAATGTAAATAATTGATTTTTTCATTATCTACAATCCGATGAGCTCAAATTACAGATGTTTCTGTCTTATTTTTGTGATTTTCTACCACATTATTTAATAAAATCATATTTTCCAGTATTCTAGAGATATCAATTTAATTAGTTTGCGAAAACTATCATAAAATATCAATGTTGACCTTATTACTGACAACTTGCTCTTTACTGACGGGTAATTCATTTATTGGAACAAAATTCTATATGTACATTTATAACTTGAACTAATCAAACCTATTAATTTGTATTTGTAACTGAAGAGAAAACGAATGAATCTATTGTACTTTGAAAAATTGTCATTCTTATACTTATTCAAATTTATGGAGGGATAAAACTGTATGAAAATGTAAAATGTTGGTTTAAGATAAATCATTTAAAATATGACTTGTTTCAAACATTTAACCCAATGTTAACTACAAAAATGTTCACTTACGTGTTTGTTTACGACAATTTTCTAACATGAATTTTGTACAAAATGCAATTGACTCAATAAAAATACGTGCAACAAGTAGTTTGTCAGCAGACTTTGAATAATCCAATCCGATTACAAATCCATCAGGTCCGTAAAATGAATTTTTGTTTAATTTTAATGGTCCGCCTATTAGCGTGTTTTGATGATGTTTAAGTGTATTCCTTAGCAATGGGATATAGAAGATATTTTCACGAGTAGCTTTTTCATCCAAACCTAAAAAAATATTTTAGCAAGAGAAGGATGGCTATTTATGAATCAGAACATTTACTAGTGATATATATCAGTTAGTTATTAACGATTAAACTAATACTACATTTTGGTTCTACGTGCAAATCGTATTAATTAATTTAAGAAATATCACAAGGATGAAAATGAGCTTAGTAAACCATAGAAGAAACAGAATTTGTCACATAAGAGAATCAAAAACTTATATGAGTCATTATTATTGATATTACCGTTTAGAGAAAAAACTATGAAACGTTTTCACTACTGAATGTTATATCCGGACGAGAATAAATAAGTGGTAGCCGTTAGGAATTACTTATCGACTAATATTAGACGTATATTCATATTCCGTTCATTATGATTCTACTTGACCTATTTGTTACCGCTAAATGATTTGCAGTTCTCAAGTTATTCTCA